GGAAGGAGGAAGGGGAGGAGGGAGGAAGGAGGAAGGGGAGGAGGGAGGAAGGAGGAAGGGGAGGAGGAAGGAGGAAGGGGAGGAGGGAGGAAAATGGGAAGAAATGGAGGGAGAGAGGAGTTAAAAAAGAGAGACTTGAGAAAGTGAGTTGAAGGTGGAGAAGTGAAGAGGGCGTCAGGATGGGGGAGGGGTAGGGCAGGTCTTACCTCAATATAGCGATATACAGACACCTGTCCAGACCATCGAAGATCATAGAAATGAGGAGCCGCAATCAGCACCACATCTGAGAAACCATCCTGGTCAATGTCACAGACCTCAATCTCTGAGCCAAAGTACGAGCCCACCTAAGACCACGGAGGAGATAGTTTGCCAATGACTCCATCGAGGTGCAGAGCCCTCCAATATACCTCTCTGCAGTGTGATAGGATGGTCTCTGTCTAGTCTCTCCCCTGTCTTCAGTAGAGTGGGTCAGTCTCTCATACAGAGCACTCCAATATACCCTCTGTGCTTTGTGTTGTGTGCGTTGTCTTGTGTTGTGTGCGTTGTCTTGTGTTGTGTGCGTTGTCTTGTGTTGTGTGCGTTGTCTTGTGTGCGTTGTCTTGTGTGCGTTGTCTTGTGTGCGTTGTCTTGTGTTGTGTGCGTTGTCTTGTGTCGCAGAGCTCTCCGGTACCCACCTGCTCTCCTGAGATCTGCTGGATCCTCTCTGCCTGATCTGGTGTCTCTCGGAAGATGGTCACAAGCCCAACATATTGATATCTTGGGGCTCCAGCCACGTAGAAGATGCCCTCAGGGGCCTGCAGCACCCCCACAGAGTATCCTGCAGATTGTCAGAAACTGTTAGAGAACACTATAGGAAGTCACAAGTCTCACAAAGGTTTTGTGTGGCCTGAGGAGCGTTATCAGGTAGAGGAATGGAGAGGACAGAGATGAGGGGATAGACAATGGAGAATGGCCAAGAGCTCACACGCTATGGTTCTGCCAGCAACCTCTGCAGATAGACAATACTGTGATTGGATAGACTCACCCCGGGAGCTCACACTCTATTAACTGATGCAAACACTTTCCTGTCACTCCCTTCACCACACAGGTGAAATCCATTACACATCTAATATCACTCACCCAGATATCCATTTTTGTCCTCCTCCTGGAGAGATATGTTAATCAGCTTCTCTGGTCCAGAAATATTAAGAACTCCACCAGACCAATCAAAGATCCCGGGGTCTCCCAGGAACTGCCGATCCTGCAATGGAAATAGGTCACAGCTACAGTATACACCACCAAATCTATAACACCTCAATCCAACCAACCCAGAGTCTACAGCCAATCCAACCAACCCAGAGTCTACAGCCAATCCAACCAACCCAGAGTCTACAGCCAATCCAACCAACCCAGAGTCTACAGCCAATCCAACCAACCCAGAGTCTACAGCCAATCCAACCAACCCAGAGTCTACAGCCAATCCAACCAACCCAGAGTCTACAGCCAATCCAACCAACCCAGAGTCTACAGCCAATCCAACCAGCCCACAGTCTACAGCAACTAGGAGGATAATCAGACCAAGATCTGCAATGACTGAGAGGACCCAATCCAACCAGACCGAGGTCTACAATGACTGAGAGGACCCAATCCAACCAGACCGAGATCTACAATGACTGAGAGGACCCAATCCAACCACACCGAGATCTACAATGACTGAGAGGACACAATCCAACCAGACCGAGATCTTCAATGACTGAGAGGGCATAACACAAGTTGACCCAGAATATCCATCAGATCTTCCATGTATACGGAGGCTCCTCCTGGACTGGCCACGTAATACAAACCCATATAATGTTACCCCAATCAGCATTTCTACCACACCAACCTGTGTCAGCGCAGCACTGAGACCTGCAGACGAGAGTTCTCGGGAGAAACTGACTTCCTGAGCTGATCCTGTGGTGACAAAACAGATAAAATCTTCCCATATAACTGATTCTTCACAACTTCCACTCATCACCACACACACATTTCACTGAGAGATAATGGAATACCAACTCTATGGTAGTAAAAGATACATTGCATGAGATGCCGCTCATATCCTCTGCGTTACAATGTATCTTTTACTGCTCTTGGTCTCTGGGACTGGATATCCTTCCAATTATGGTGGCTGCTAAATCGTATCATTGGTTAGCGCAGACTCTATGAACCCACCAGTAAGGGCTGGATCAAGTGTCTGGCCAATGAGGAGACAGTGTGCATCATAAATTCATACCACCATCATACTCTTTCACCAAAGGCCCATCATTACATACCCCAATACCCCACCACAGGCTGAGTCTCCCCGTTACACCCCCATTACTACACCACAGGCTGAGTCTCCCCGTTACACCCCCATTACTACACCACAGGCTGAGTCTCCCCATTACATACCCCAATACCCCACCACAGGCTGAGTCTCCCCGTTACATACCCCAATACACCACCACAGGCTGAGTCTCCCCATTACATACCCCAATACCCCACCATAGGCTGAGTCTCCCCGTTACATACCCCAATACCCCACCACAGGCTGAGTCTCCCTGTTACATACCCCAATACCCCACCACAGGCTGAGTCTCCCCATTACATACCCCAATACCCCACCATAGGCTGAGTCTCCCCGTTACATACCCCAATACCCCACCACAGGCTGAGTCTCCCTGTTACATACCCCAATACCCCACCACAGGCTGAGTCTCCCCATTACATACCCCAATACCCCACCATAGGCTGAGTCTCCCCGTTACATACCCCAATACCCCACCACAGGCTGAGTCTCCCTGTTACATACCCCAATACCCCACCACAGGCTGAGTCTCCCCATTACATACCCCAATACCCCACCATAGGCTGAGTCTCCCCGTTACATACCCCAATACCCCACCACAGGCTGAGTCTCCCTGTTACATACCCCAATACCCCACCACAGGCTGAGTCTCCCCATTACATACCCCAATACCCCACCATAGGCTGAGTCTCCCCGTTACATACCCCAATAC